AATATTTTTCTTTTTTCTGGCAAAAAAACACGAATGAATGAAAAATTATTCTATCTTCTTACTTTACCATTCCAATACGGAAAACATAAAAGTATACATTTTTTTAGCAAATCAAACCTGCAACCCTATGAGACAAATTTGGACTTAAAAGTATTTTTATTCAGAAATATTCATTCATTTTTGGACTGAAAAAAATATCTAAAATTTTCAAAGTATATAATTATACACGAGGAAGAAGCGAAGAATATTTGAAAACCTGCATTATGTATTTCCTGCTTAGATGCACAGTGAATCACAAGAAACGGATATAATGATTCAAGTCGACAAAAGAAGAAAAGTCAATTTTGTCACTAGCAAATTTTAAGATCTCTGAACAATTTTTGTCTCATTAGTAAATTTTACCGAAAGTTTCTGGCGCAGCTTTCAGAGATCTCGAGTGGAATTACAACTCATATTACGGCGGTGAAATTGGCGAGACAAAACATCGAGCCTAAATTTGAACCAGCCGTGATTAATGATTTGCTTCGATAAAATTCATTAACTTCAAGAGCACTGCTTAATTAGTCAGTTTGGTTAGCTTTGATGATAATATTTGAAAGGTACATTAAATTGAATTCTGATATCATAAAATTTTATTGACAAACTGGAGAAACTCCCGCCGAAGTAGCAAAAAATAATAAAAACGTCTTATTTGATGCCACAAAATATTTGGACCAATTTTCTTCCTCGTTAATACTGGACATTCTTTTAAAGTAGCAAATCGCCAACGGGACGAAGATATAATACTACATAATTTATGAATTACTTTGTAGAGGTTATTGTTAGTACATTCTTTTGGTCAGAAAGCAATACGGCAATATTTTACGCGTTATCGTTCTTTTGGATGTGCATTAAATTATTGCACTAAATATTTTATCCTCGTTAATGTTGGACATTCTTTTACAGTAGCAAATCGCCCATTGGGCGAAGATACTAATACATTATTTATGAATTATTTGGTAGAGGTTATAGTTAGTACATTCTTATGGTCAGAAAGCAATACGGCAATATTTTACGCATCATCGTTCTTTTAGATGTGCATTAAATTATCGATGTCTTTTCAAGGAGGAAAAACGGGAGCAGGGCGAACCCGACTGATTTACCTAAACGCACGCGGCTTGTTTTCCCCCGAGATTTCCCCGCAGCGACTTACGCCTGGCGCGACTGGGACTCATTAGCGGCAAATCGATGAATTTCAACGAATGGAAATGGAATTTGTTTCATCATGGACTCGCTAAAATTAGGACGTGTTGTCAATCAGATCAAATAATAACGAAATTTGAGGTCGCTCGGGTCAAAACGATTTGACTATCGCGGTTCATTTGTATGGCTAATTCACACGATTACAATTTGACTTCATTGTTCGGCTCCGGCAGTCGTTCATTGTCACTTAAACCGATTCTGATGCCATTAAAAGTAAAGGTAAATCTGTCGCGCTAAGCAAGAAGGCCGTAAATCCATCAAGATTTTCATTCGTTTTTTGGAACTTAACACTTTATAAAATAAAGTCTGTTTTACTCATGCACCTCAAATTTTCAGGGAGAGTTCTTGACACTATTTGCGAAAGAATTATGTAAAAACATTGTCCCAAGGTACACAAGTCGTTTTTCTGATATGATACTTTGTTTCCAAAAAATGTAAAATGGCGTTTACGACGTTTTTGCGTTGCGCGGCAGAAATTTGATTGAATATTCTTTTTTGACTGTAAACAAACCAATTCTCATCTTTCAGAGAGGGAAAGTAAAAATAAAAAAGCCAAACACCGGTAGGTATAGTTAACAGTTTGATATATCATGGAATTTTGCTTTATTTTCGTGTTTTTTGTGTCTTTTTCTCCCTTTTTACCCCTGAGTGAGGTACCGAGGTTGATGTTTTATTTGACGCGATTGTACATGATACTCAAACTGTTATAAATTCGATTGAGCGCATAAAGCATTTATTTTGATTTTTCCATCGAAGCTGAGGAAAATTTTTAAAAAAATTGCAAATTTTTATGATTAATTAATTATGTTTTTTCGATGCAACGTCATAATAATAGCTGGGAAGAGCTTCTTTAAATCATAACGAATAAAAGAAAAAGAAGATAGTCGTTATTTTTAAAAGATTGCAAGCAAAATTGTTAATGGGCAACTACAGTAGATATCGGTTAATACGACATTCAAGGGGTCACGGGATTTCGTCGTATTAGCCTATATGTCGTGTTAACCGTTGTCGTATTAACTTATGGAGTTTCGCCGGGGAAAACGAAATCCGTCGTATTAGCCGATATGTCGTATTAACCGATGTCGTATTAACCGATATCTACTGTATAGCCTTAACCCTTTCATTACCGGGGTAGGAGTATAAAATGATCAAATATAATGAGCAAAAAGTCATCAAAAGTAATAAAAAAATATCACACCTTTTGACTACGGACTTTTAAATCCTACAATTATCGTCGTTCTGCACGAGTTCTTGTAATCTTGTTATATCTTCCAAACATTTTTTTGAGAGTGATGCTTTTTGAAAATAAAATTTATGCAAGGAGTTCCGTATTGAACTTTGATTTCTGAAGCATCCGCGATTCTCTGTGTGCACCCTAAAAGCGAAATATTCTTTGAATAAATTAAAAAGAAGCATGGCATAGGATTTATTTAGCAATTTTATTTGGTAAAATCGTAAATTTGTAATTTTTTTTAAAGTGATCAACTATTTAATTGACTTTTACCATGTCTTTAAAGTAAAAATAAAAGAGCACTGATACTTTTCTTCTCACGAAAAACTTACAAAATTTGCTCTACGGTATCTTTAGTCAAAACAATCATTTTCCTACTCATTTACAAAAAGGCCGCTGATTTCAACTGATACCAGTAAAATCTAGGATTGAGTCTCATTTACTTGAATTTAGATAAACAGTAAGCGATATGATGCTCTATAAATTAATACAATTGATAAATAATTGAAAAATAATTCTAATGCAAATTCATCTATACTTTGTTTTCCATTGTAGAGCTAACTAAAAGAAACCAACAAAATTTAAAATTGATAATAACTTAAAATTGCGTAACTAGCTAGTACCGAATATCTGGATACTTCAATTTTGCAATAACGCATCATTGCAACGGTTAATACAAGAGAACTTCTTTCGTTTAAAGTGTTACATTTTGCTCGCTTGTGACTTTCCTATTTAAGTATGATATTTATCTATGAAGTTTACGAGTTATTTTTTCTTTCATAAATATTTTGTTATAAAAATATTTGCAATATTTAATTACCTTCGAATTCATTTTAAATTAATATTAATTTTTAAATGAAGAATACTTCAGATGGTCTTTTCTATCTTGCCAGCTTTTTCACCAAGTCCTTTCAAGAAAGTTATAGAAAAAAGGGCATTCCAATCAAAACGTTTGTTTACATGAGGTAATTAAACGAGAAATAATAATGCGGTCGTCCTGAGATGGTCAACTAACTAATCGATAGTTTAAAAATTACACAGACCACGGATATTCAAGGAATATTGCAGTCTCAATATTTACCAATGAAAACAGCGTAATTAAAAATTCCTCTAGGCTTATGAATTATATTTATATTTGCAAAAATAATGTATTTTTTAAATATTGGTGTTCAATTTTAAAATTTTAAACTTTTACGAGAAATCTTCCATAAAATTAACAATGAAGAGAAGAGGAGTGAATGTTTTCTTTGGAAATGTAGTAGCCTGAAACCCCCCGGCTACTTTCACGCAATGAAAGTTTATGAGAAATATTCAGATTTTTTCCTAGAGCTTACATTCTAAAATTATTTTTTTAATGCTCGTCAATGATAAATTTAAGTTACCAATGAGCCTCTATACAGGGGAAAACATCTCCTTCCATAATAAGACCTCAATCAATTTATCGTTTAGAAATGCAGCGCAATACACTGGTGTAAATAGTTTGAGTAATTATAGAGTACATTGTGCAGTTAGGAGTTTATATTCCTGGTTCATTCTAGAAGCAACATATTCGAAAATATTTACGTGCGTTAACAGGTATTTTTATTGATAAGCTGAAATCAGTGGTTCTTTCCTGCACAACGTAATGCAGTTGATACTTTCCTAACCTTGCGTTAAAGTCTCCGAGGAAATGAAAGGTTAGGAAACGTACACGAATTTAAATTTCAAATTAGACAAGTCCTTTGTTGGATATTGATTTCACTTTTCATTTGACATATGTAATTCGGACAAACATCTATCCGTTAGTGCCTTTTCTTCAGCTCACACGCGTCATTGATCCATGACTTGTGATACGTAAGAAATAATACTTAACATTTTTTGGATTGGAAAGCTGAGAGCGTTCTGAAACATATAGTGCTGTTAAAGCTATGTCCGATTTAAAAATGTTAATTGTTAAACTACCATTATTTTAGGATTAAAGGAGTATTACTTCCACTGTTATTCGAAGACATTGATTGAAAAAACAATGAAACTGAAGCAGATTATATTGACTTGACGTTAGGTGTTTTCCCACACATTTCTATATTCTGCGGGTAGGAAAAACAATGCATATTTCTTTGTTTTATATAATGTATCTGCACATCATTTAGCAACTCAGACCATTTAAAACTTCTCGATTCTGATTATTTACCGTATTCGGTATATTTTTTCCTTTCTAAAACCCTATGGCTTTTAATTAAATAATCCGATGCGCTTTTTAATCTATGACGATGATTCTAACTCACTACGCATGCATTAAAAAAGATGCCAATTTCCACTGCTTCCAGATGTAACTACCTTGAATGAGAGAAGAACTAAATGCACCAAAGATCAATGCCCTCTAAAGATTTACGGGTAATAATACTGACCAAAACTTTACCATTGAGGCAATGCGTGTACTGTTAGGCTTTGAAAACAACAAACGGGCCTGTCCTCAACGAGAAAAGCAAGTTTTGAAACTGCATGCAATACCTTATCCTAAAATGTATGCAAACAAAAATCAATTTACCTGAAGTTATGAGCAAAAAAATATCCTTTTGAATAGATGATGCGCACAATTCACACTTGGGTGAGGAGAAAAACAAAATTGAAAAATTCCGTACTATCTAGTTTCACTGAGAACAAATATGATGAATTATTGTTTTAACAAAGTCACTGTCACTTTAAAAAATACTTTAGCGGTCACCTAAGAGAGCAACAAATTTCACAGAGAGAGCGACATCAGAAAATACGCCATAGCGACAAATAGCACAACGTCAGCGTTTTGTTTTTCCGCAATTTATGTCTCATTTTTGAAGGGAGCACGGGGGCCGGAACCAATAACTTCGATCCTTCGACGCGGGGGATTCGCCAAATTTGTTTGCCCGAACGGCGAGCGCATATCACATGTTGAAGAAGACGCAGAATCACTTGTCACTCGCACAAGATGAGGAATGTTAGCGGAGATCAGAAGAGTCGACGGAGGCCCGAGACGTGGAAATCTGGGAAGTGGCACTTGATGAGAACACTTGTTTGGGGAGCGGCGGATGCGTTAGTGTGGGTGGTGGGCGGTTGACACACGGGAGCACGGGAGCAGGGAAGGTGGCCGAGTGGGCAACTAACCCCCGGCGCGTTGTCGAATGCTGATGTCGCCGAGGTGACGATGAAGGTGACGGATCCACCTCCTGAACTCACTCATTACACTTGAGACACTCGCGAACCCTCGCAGTTCTTGACCAACTCAACGGATCCCCACTCACAGCGCGGCGGCGACGGCGGCGGAGCGCGATGATGGACGAACAACCCGGTGAAGCACGCTCGGCTCCCGATCTCGAAAGCGAATCCCGATCCGATACCTGCCCAATTGCGCCCAATTGTCGAGTCCTTCGTTATCTGCTCGAGTTTTCTAAATCGGCGACCGACTGCTCCACGATCGTGTTCACGAGTACCGTTAGGATTAGCCGATGCCGCTTCATCCGCGCACGGCCAGGAGGAGGGGGCGGGGGCGGGGGCGCGGGCGGAGGAGGGGGAGGGGGGACGCCGGGGGGAGGAGGGGGGCGGGGACCTCCCAAAGGCTCCTCACCTTCGACGGCTAGGTCTATACGCTGCTACTCCCCCTCTCCGACATCACTTTTGCTTTTCATTCCAATCCTCTTTGGCTGCTGCGCGCTGCGGCTCCGGGCTGCGGCTGCGGCGAGGCACACGACAGAATACGTAAGAATCGCGAGCCAGAATGAACTGATCGCGGGGCACTACCCCCTCTCACGTGGCCGAGGCAGCGACAGCCGCGGCGCGACGCGGCCGAGCACAGCGGTCAATCCACTGCCCTAGTTCCGTCTCAGATTGCTCTTCTTTCTCTTTCCTTCTGCCACGACCGCGACGCCCGCACGCCGACAACTCCCTGACCAGCCTCTCGCGCGCTCTCTCTATCTCTGTCTCTCTCGCTCTCTCGTGCCCGGTCGGTGGATCCGTTGTCTCGGGCAGCTCCGGAGGTGGAGCCACGAGCATCCGCGCGGCTTCGGATCGTCTCGGGGGGGAGGTAACGGACTTCATTCGCTGCTCATTCCGCTCTTCCACTCGCTCCCTCGCCGAAGCTTCCTTAGTGTCGCCGACGCCGTTGTCGAGGCAGCGTCGGCAGCGTCGTCCAAGTCGTCTCATCCCCCATCCTCGTAGAACGGCGTTGGCGCCCGTCTTACCCTCGCGTCATTTCAAGGCGTGTGTTTCTATTCACAGTCCCTCCTCCGATAGGGTCGCCACCCCCACAACATGTTCCTTTACGCAGGGCCAGTCGGTCCTGTCCATCCCTACACATTAAAATCTATGTTACTATCTTCCCGTTTTCTCGTTTTTTTTTTTTTTTTTTTTTTTTTTTTTTTTTTTTTTTTTTAAGACAGGTTTAAATGTGTTCTTCCAATTAACATGCAATTATTTCGATTTTCCTAAGAATACAATTTTGAAACATTTTTTAAATTTTCATTTTATTGTTAGTGATTTTTTCACTTTCAAGTCTTCTAAAAACTCTGCTTAACAGCACATCGGAACAATCATGTGTCAATTTAAAAAGAAAGTTTTTGAAAATCCAATCAATAGATCCTGGGGTAAAGGGGCAAGATTGTTCAGAAACTAAACTTTTTAGTATCGCAAAATGAGAAAGAAGAACATGAACAATTTTAAATTACCTTTTCTTTTAACTGACCTTGCGTGACAGAACAGCTGTAACTCCTCATATAATCACTGGAATTTAAAAAATAAAGCTTAAAATGATCCTGAGAATGTGTGAAATTTATTGGGATAAAAAATAGACAATCAAATTTGTGGGTAAAAAATAGACAATCGAATTTTTGGAAAAAAAATTCAATACCGACTGACCTTCATGGAATAAATCGGAGGACCTTCCGCTGAAGAGACGATCATTATCACACCCCTTACATTCCTTGAATCTGAAAGACGTCTAATAATTTTACATGGAATTTTCAGTTTTCTCTCTTTTCACGTAAAATTTACATCACTTTATATCGTAAATGGATTTTGTCAGGTTTTGGTTTTGTCGTAAATGGAAGTGTCAATCAGTCAAAAAATATTGACAAATCATTAATTCAAGTTCATAAAAGTTTTGGTTTCTCACTCAAAAATTAAAATAACTAAATCTTTGGAGGGTTATGATAAATTTTACTTTTGAACCAAATTATTTCAGTCCTGCCAATAAAGGTTCCTTCATAGCGTAATGTAATTATTTTAAATATCGTACATTGAGCATAACCTTCCCCTTTTCTAAAACGTTGAGAATATTCTCATAGCATCTTCAAAATTAAACTTTAAAACGAATTCATTTGCTGCATATTAATCAGCGATATACAATTGAACCTGCGAAAAGGACCAGAAGATGGGCAATCTTGTGCTAGAAGAGGCCTTTTGCTCAACATGGATGAATCAAGAAACGACTGAACATATTTTTGAATTAACCCCAAAGAGGGGTTGTTAAAATAACGTTGTTATTTGGGAGTTATAATCAAACGAAATCGGGTCTAAATGAAAAAAGAAACACAAAAATCAACTACTTTTTGTATCAATTAAGTAATGACCCTAAAAACTTGGTGTCGGTTTGAAAGATACACATTCATAAGTCTGCATTAACCTCGAGTTAGTCATAAAAGCCTTGTTATTTTACTTGCATCATTAAACAATAAGGAACAAAAAGGCTTCATACTTTGAATACCCTGTTTTTAAGTTTCGAAGTCAGGTGTTTAATTTTAAATTTTTAATTTTCATGCTCTAAACCAGGCAAGTCTTAAAATGACATCTCTCTAATCATGAGTTTTTGTAAATTAAAAACTCTTTTTTTCAATACGCAGTGAATGCTAAAGTACCTCTACCAACATGCTGCGTCGTTCATACCACGTTTGATGTTAAGTTTGGTACCGTGATACATATCTACCCATTGGATAAGATGGTCAAGTATTTCATCCAGAAATAGTTTAAAAATATTACATTTGATCGGTTTAGTCTTTGGGACCCCTTCCTTTTTTCGAAGTATGCAATCCGGCCGATCACGAATTCTTAAAAATTTTCTTGAACGTTATGTGACAGATTAGCTTTAGCTCGGGTCAAGTGAAAATACAAGCGAGAGAAATATTTAAAGTATAAGTTTGGAAAAAAAAAAACCGAAGCTTTTTTCACGGAAAGGTAACTCAGATTTTTACATTGATCGAAACCTCATCACACACTTTTACTCCGCACTCACTGTGTATTTGATGTTTCTCGTATCCACACCTGAGAAAAAATACCAACATATTTAATGTAAATTGATTCTTTTTAACTCTGGTGTTGCATAAGTGTTTCCCGGGGGAACAATATGTAAAACTGGTCTACTTTTAGCGTCTAGTTAGATTCATTCCCTTCCTCGAATTTTTTTTCAACGGTAAGTCGTCTCTTAAAATTGAACAGCAACAATTTGTTATATTTTTTACTTTCACTTCAATGCCTTTATTTCAGTCAGTTTCACTTCCACTAATGGAACCATTCCTCGACCATGTTCAACGTTGTGGAAGCGAGTTAAAGTCACAAACGATTCTCTGTTCTTTCATGGTGTAGGCTTCAGTTAATTGTCTAAAACCTCAGTTTGCTGAAGAGCGGAACAAAATTTTTATTTCAACTTATTGAACCCAACCCTAAAAATTCCATTCAATTTTTAGATCAAAACTCTGTCTTCCAGTTCAGATGAGGTATTATGAGTCTCGGGCTCTGGGCTTGGCTATATTCTTTGAACGTTCAAGTCCGTCATTCAGCGAGCGCTTATATTTCACACATCACCCTTTTATTTTTCGTTTCTTGGTGTGATCGCCCAGTTTAAATTTTTTCGAAGAGGTGGGTTTAGCTAATTTTCAGTTTACCTTCATTCTAAAGTACGGCCAACATGCTCTTCCACAAAGTTATTAGTCGTATCACCCTTACAGATCACTATCGATTGAGGGGAAAATCGGCAGTATAGGTTTCAGCAAGCAAGGAACGGTGACCAGCTCATCAGTTTCAGTTTTCTTTCAAGTCTCAGTGTAGGCAACCCGAGCTCCCACGTGGTCGAATAGTGGTATCACTCTCACGATGTCAATGTCACGAGTGCCAGCAGGAATAACTTACCAAATGTGGCGTAGTGCAGTGACTTTACCTCAATGTCAGTTTGCCTTCAGTTTTCAGTGTAGGCAGCATCGGCTCCTAAGTGGCCGAATAATGGTATCACTCATAGACATCACGATTGAAAGCGAGAAAAAGTTGGATTGGACTTCATCGAGCGTGGAGCGGTGAATGTAGCTCATTAACAGTTCGCCCTCTCGTTTCAATGTATAGAACATGAGTTCTCACGTGGCCGAAAAAACAGTGTTATTCTCGGATTTCGCTGGACCAACATATTGGTATCCATAAAAAATGTAACAATATCAGAGACGCGAAAAATGTTGGCGTTCCTTTGATTAGCGCCTCAGTGCTTAGTTTTTGGGTATCCGTGCACTTAATCTCGTTCGGTTGATTCACTTTGCTTGGCCGAAGCGGAGAAGTAGGGCTGTCATCGGATAATCGATTTCGGATGTCCTAATTAATTCACCTTTCCCCAAGTTGTATGAGGCAACACAATCCAGAGTCGGGCGGTTTGCCCCGTATTTCATGCTCGAAGACTCCTGACTGCGGACTAGCGAACCAAGCCCGGTGACGAGGCCTGATAGAGATTTTAGGATGGCGTTAAATATCGATGCCGATGAGGGGAGAGAGAGCGTCATTATGTCGCTCCAATATACGGTTGAAATCAATGCACCACACTCTATCAATCGAGATCTTATTTGGATATGATAAAAAATCGTTCAAACACTTCGACCTTAAATTAGAAAAACTCTGGCTTAGGGAGAAGAGATTCAACTACTCCTGGATTTATTTTTACATAACTCTGTGAATATTTCAAAATTGCAGTTTCTCAGATAAATGCATTGGAGCACTGGGATTAAGGGATTATCTGGCGTTGGGGCAGTTAAAAATTCTCAATCAAGCAGATCTAGACTTTATAAATCGCGAGGATTCGAAGAAAAAGAGTAATCTCAGAAGTACAAGTTTCAAGTCAGCGAGGTTTTAAGTAGAGGTTATATCCAAATTTATGAATTTAGGTGGGATTAAGTTAAACTCGTCGAGTAACAAAAGAAAAAAAAATCACGGAGATTCAAGAGTGCATTGTGCTTTACATTGTACCACACATTACCTTAATTAAAACTGGAAAGGATTAGACATGCATCAAGAGCATTCTTACATCCTAACATTCTTCCTCAGAATTATAATCCGCGGACCCCAATTAAAAGTCTAAATACAATTTTTCCCCTTCAAAAGTAGTACTACCTACGACACTACCTGCAAGAAAATTGCATAAAAAACTCGGAAAAGTGCACGTTTACTACTCCAAAATAAACTCGACTCTTATGAAACATTTTTTTTGTTGTTATATATCCCTATTCAATTATTCC